ATGCGTTGATTGGCGTTTCCAAATTGTGTGTGAATGTGTGTGCGATTGTGCCCTGAGACCGGTTGGCACCCCATCCAGGTCGTCCCCCGCCTTGTTCCCTGGGATAGGCTCCAGGTGCTCCCGTGACCCCGTGTAGGATAAGCGGTATGGAAAATGGATGGATGGATCTCATACCTGTTTAATATTGTCGTTTAGACTAGCAAACAAAGGTCTTGCAGAAACTGCAAGACATTCTTGAGACACAGCAAGGCATCCTGGCAATGCAGTGGAGAATGCTGGCTGCTATGGCTGCTAGACCAGAAGCAGAGGAGGATATTTTGGAAAAAGGCACTGGTAAGAATGTGGACGAGCTTCAAACACTTGACATGGAATTAGGACAGAAAGAGAAACGGACCAAGATGGTAATACGACACAAGCTGTCAACATACATTGTACAATACTCAATATTCATTTACCAGATGTTTTTTTTTTTAAAGTCTAAATCATCATACAGAAAATTAGGCTATGTACTCAACTGATATCAGACATAACTGCTCTTAACCACATACAGTATTGTTCGATTATAACTGAGACCTGTAGTACCAAAATAGGAAATACTTTTTGTTTCTGAATATGAATGAATGAATGAATAAGTTCACTTGATGTATTAGAGAGATTGCTCTTGTGTTGTGTGACGTTAGGGCGACATCATGTGGCTCCAAAGCAACTGAACAGCCCGGCTATTCCGCATAGCAACTCCTGAACAGTGCAGGTTTTCCGCCAGAGGGCACCATTTAATTTTTCTTTGTAAAATACCGACTGAAATGTACATCGAAATGTCCACCAGCTGCCACCACAGCCCTGCGTCTCTGTGGCGCAATCCGGTTAGCGCATTCGGCCCTTAACCAAAAGGTTGGTGGTTTGGGCCCACCTGGGGACGGGTTCCAGTTTTCTTGTTTTTCAATTTATTACACATCCCAAAACACTGCGCTTTTGTTACAAACTCTCAGGTTTACGCTTACACTCATATTATTCCGTTTTCTGAGTCCGAATCAGAGAGAAACTCATTCTTTTAACTCGGTTCCTACGGTTCAGTTTCACACTAAATAACAAAAAAACCCCACTGTGTGAGGAGCGTGTAAAGCTCAAAATAGCCACCACAGCCCCGCGTGGACCCAACCTACACGTCAAAATGCTGAAGTGCTAACAACAATGCCAAGGTTTCTTTCTCGCCTGTAGAGTAATTTACCTGATACTTGTTAAACTTCTGGGAGTAGGAATACACAGGGTGGAGCACACCATCACAATCTTCCTGTAATAACACTGCACCAGCCCCAACTGCACTCGCATCAACCTCTTGCTGAAAAGCCTTGGTAAAATCAGATGCTTGAAGCACAGGTTCACTACTTAGAAGTACCTTAACACTGCTAAAAGCATGATCACACGCAGAAGACTGGTGAAAACGTACGGTAGGACTAAGCAATTTAGTAAGAGGTTCGACAACGGTGGAGAAATTTCTCTAAAAATCAGCGCAACTCTCTTGGCGGGAAGTGGGAACGGGAAAATTTACTACGGCAGTTACCTTTGCTTTCAGGGGACGAACTTGTCCGCTTCCAACCTGTTTTCCTAGATAGGAAACTGTTGCTTGAGCAAAGTCACATTTAGAAAGGTTCAGCATAAGGGCGGCTTGTTCCAACCTCTGAAACACAGTACGCAGTGTATGCATGTGAGCAGTCCAGTCGAGTGAATAAACCACAAGGTCATCTAGGTACGCTGAACAATTTGGGTCATCACCCAACACTATATTAATTCATCTCTGGAATGTAGTGGGTGCAAAGAGGGATAAATTCACATATTTACAATATATTTTTTGTGAATCCATTTATTTCTGTAAAGCTGCTTTGTGACAATGTCCATTGTTAAAAGTGCTATACAAATAAAATTGAATTGAATAGAATTTTTCAAGCCAAAAGCCATAACTGTGTACTGTAGAAAATGATCTGGAGTTACAAACGCTGATATTGCCGAAGCCTCAGGGGTCAAAGGCACCTGCCAATACCCTTTTAACAGATCAAGCTTAGTGACAGATCCAATATTGTCATCACAATCATCCATACGAGGCAAAGGATAGAAATCAGACACAGTCACAAGATTAAACTTCCGGTAGTCTGTACAAAATCGAAAAGTCCCATCTGGCTTAGGAACTAACAAGCAAGGTGAACTCCACGGATTCAAACTGGATTTTGCCAAGCCACGCTCTAGTAAATACTGGCTTACTCACAGTAACTTTAATATCGTCCCGGAGAACAGAG